ACCCAAACTAGAAGTTACTGTATTAAAACATGACAAAACTTTTCTTGATATGATTAGTATGTCTCCATCTTCCGCAGTTTGTTTTGAAAAAATGATTTGACGACTGTAATTTCATAAATAGTGACTCTAATCTTATCTTTTCTAATAATTCATTTCCATTGACTTTAATTTTCTTATTCATCCATGATTCTGCACCAATGATCTTATCTTATCAAGTTTTCTCAATTTGAAGCATTTTTTTTAGCATAAAAAGTTTGGTTAATTTAACTTTTTGTCGGTTGGAGTTGGAAATTAAGTAAATTATTTCTTTTTAAAGTAAGTTAGGGGTTAGTTTCAAGCATGCACTTTTTATTTAGCCCCCGTTTGGTGCACATTTTTGTTCCAATAATGCATTTTTTTGGTTGATATGATGGTGAATATGTTGTTGAAAAAGAGAGAAAAGTTATTGATGTGATTAAAAATATTATTTTATTGAAAAATGTTTAGTTAAAAATGAATAGAAAAACGAGAATGAAAAAAATAATGTGACTCAAACAGGGCTTTCATCTTCAATCTCGACAAATAACTTAAGAAAAATTCGAAAAAAATATATTATTATGTTCCGAACATAGTGCAATAGAATCATATACTACTAACAAATACATAGGATGACAACGAGCGGGAGGGGCCAGGCAACCCTCCCCATCCCCCGTCCTGCCGGGGTTTTGGGAGATGGGATTAGATCCCTATTTTTCATTTAGCAAAGACTGAATATTGACTATATGGACATGATTTCGCGTGTTGGATGCAATTACATTTTGATACAATATTGGCTTAGCTATGAATGGATGTGGTCTCTCTCTCTCTCTCTCATAATGACATATCCCTATTTATGAGAAAAATTAGGGCAAAAATAAAATTACAAGTATGAAATTCCTGAACTATCCTTAATAAGATCGATCCGCGTAATATCATCAGTAATTATGCTCCACAATTTAATAAAAGCAACCACTTTAATCATAAAAGAAGAAATTAATTCATTTTCACAGTACAATTAGCCAAATTTAAAGTGTTAGGTCATGTTTGGTCCGTATTATTTTCTTCATTCTCATTCTTCTACTCATTTTCAACCACACATTTTTCAATAAAATAATATTTTCCATCACATCAATAACTTTTCCTTCATTTTCAACCACACACTCTCCATCAATCTAATATTCCAGAATACATTTTACATCAACAGTAAAAATGCATTCTTACTTTCAAAATATGCACCAAGCGGGGCTAAATAAGTAAATATTAAGTTCCCTACACAAGTTTTTACCATTATGTTTAATCTTTCTCATCATTTCATGTAAGTTGAACATCATCATTCTATAGATTTAGTTTTTCAAAAAAAAAAAAAAGGAGGTTATTTCATTAAGAAAACGGTAAATATCACAGTTGGCTTTCTTATTAAGGGATACAAACAATGAATAAAACTATGTGTACACAATTTTTTACACAATGTTTTACACCCCCCTTACATGGAGGGGGCCCACACATAATAAAATAATCGTGGGCCCCCCTCCATGTGAGGGAGGTGTAAAATATTGTGTAAAAAAGTGTGTGTACACATAGCACCACTCTAAATTCTAACTTAATAATCGTGGGCCCCCCTCCATGTGGGGGGGGGTGTAAAACATTGTGTAAAAAATTGTATGTACACATAGCACCACTCTACAAACAATAAAGATGATGCGCTTTTATATTAAAATGGCGGCTTACCAAAAAATTGCTAAAGTGGGAGAAAGGTGAGAATGACATCAAGTCGTCTTGTCTTTTATATTTTAAGTGACACAAGTGCTACAATTGCGGAGACAAAGGATCCCGAGAGGTTGAGTGAATCCTAAAAAATTGTTCTTTTTGAGGAATTCTTCCTCGGTTGAGATAACAAAAATACTCTTTTAATTTGCCCAGTTTAGTACAATGTGATCGGTCTAGTTATTAAGTTACGTGCATAAACACGTTTGAACGCTTTACGTATATGACAATTGGTAGAAACTTAGTCTTAAAAAAAGTGAAAAATATTTTTTTTCTTTAATTTGGGACAATGATCTTTTCTGCATTATTATATGTTGCATATCAATACAATTAATCACATAGGCGTTTACAGTGGAATACCTGATTAGTGATTAATTCTACTGGGTTAAAGAATCTGAATATCTGACTTTTACCCTTTGAATTGGACGATGAGTACTATTCTTAGAATTAAAGTAATCAAAAGAAAATACTTAATCGTGTCCTTTTACCCTTTTGAATACATATGGCAACATCAATTATTTTCATTGACACGTTTTGCACAAAAATTATGAAAATTCTCCAGGGAAGGGCAATAAATACACTTTGTATCAGTAAGGAATCAAATGTACAACAACAACTGAGACTCGTGTCCTAGAGAAGGTTGCAGTTTCCCCGAGCTCGAGGAATTGAAGTTGATGGGAAACACACCAAGTCACCTACCCAAGTATAAAGATATGCGTTGACATCAAAAAGTGTGTCAACAAAGTTTCGGTCACCTCCCCGTACACGTAAATGTCATCTACGCACTCGAACACCCTGTTAAAAGACAAATGCCGTCGATCGAAAAAAAAAAATGCTCAACGACCATTTGCACTTCGACAACCAAATCAATGGCTGGATGAGAGATAATATGAGTGCAAGAGACATGATAAGAAGATTTGGGTTAAAATTAACATACCTCATGTATATTAAGAAATGGATATTGGTCTAGTGGGTCAATGAATTCCAAGCCTAAGACGAGATTGTTTAATTAAACAAATCCAATCAATTGAATAGTCGATGCCACGTCGACATCTATGAAACCAAGTCCATCTGATCATGCCGCGTATAATTTATAAGTGTAACAATATGTATATATACACTTGGACCACTTCAGTGTTTGCTCTTCTTTTAGCCTTCAAACTTGTACAATGTCACAATCACATCCCCACACGCCTTATTATCACGTACTTTTCAAGTTAACATTTTTTCATTAATTTTTGAGAATTATTGTTGTGTTTGCTAAATGGATGAAATACAAGAACTAATACGATATTTTTAGCTCTGGTATTTAAATCAACATGTTGTCTAACGCTCTATTGCTCTTTTGAATTGAGCGAGTTTTTGTTTTCTTTGACCCTTTAATTCATATATACTCACATTTTTATTAATATGTGTTAGAAATACTTCATCTCTTGCTTTAGGCCGGCTTTGCACTTTCTACCTTAACAACAAATTTAAATGGAACCTATATACTGGATCACATTTTTCAGTTGAGTAGGTAAATTGATAAGAGAGAAAATTGAACGAACAAATATATAAGAGAAGATATGTGCTTGAGCAAACGGGAAACTGTAAAATGAGAAGTTAGTCAGTACCAACAGCTCACTTTCAATTATGAGAAAAATTGGAGTTGGAGACCACTCAATGAGATACTAAGCCAAAACAATTTCTATCCACATATGTTAGATTTTTATTGATCTAATTTTTGTCTGATACTCCAAAAGACCATTCATTTATTTATTTGGCACATGAGTTTAGAAACCTTTGAAACTACTAGCATTTTAAAGGCTCATCTGTAAATAAGAAAAATATTTTATTGAAAACCGTTAAATCGTTCCATCTAAAAGGTTAAATATTAAAAAATAAATTCACCGTTAAACATTAAAAAAGAAATATTCAATTAACAATCTTTAAGTGTTTTATTACTATTGTATCATCTAAAAGTTTAAATTATTACAAAAGAATAATTCATTTCCTTAACTATTATCTTCAAGGTGAAGAAAAAGAAAAGATAATATCTAACATATCTGTGTTCCACAGTGTATCAGTTATGGTGATTTTACCTCGCTCAGTATTCGTGTGAATGTGTTTTCATAGTGTATGACCATATTATTAGAGGTTTTTGGGATCGCTTTCCTACACAGACTTTGTGTCGTGTATCAGGGTGCTCATCCTTTTTTATTAGCTCTATGCATATGATCAGAATTTTAAAATTATTAGATTCTAGGTACATTTGATATGGGAAGTGTCAATTTAAATCCTAATTACCTTATTAAAAATAATCTTCATTTAGTTCAATTGTCTTCTTGTAAAGGCATGATCAAAATGGACGAATTCCTCCCATTTGGTCAAGTTGATTTCAAATACTGTTACTGTCCAACACCTTGACAAACAAATAACTTTCTTTAACAAAATAAATGTAGTAAAGAAAGGTATATGAGTGTAAAATATTCGAAGACTTGTAGAAGGAAAATGAAATGAAGTCTAAACTTTCACCCATGCTTCGAATGAAAGTTCTAGGAAAGAAACGAAGTTTGAAGAAAGAATACGTGTGGAAATTGGGCCAAGTGGCTCGTCCGCTGGGCTCGGCCTAGGGGTAAACAATGTAAAAGTTGGGTCACATTTCATTAAAAAAAAAAAATGGTCTTGTGGATGAGCTCGGTTCGGCCATGAGCTCAGCTCGTCTCTTGGATGAGCCGACTCGTGAGCTCATGGGAAGAGCTCGCTCGACTTGTTGACACCCCTAGAATGAACAGCTTAAAATTTGACATTTTAGTTAGAGGAAGAAGACCATTGATGAAATACTCTTTTCATTTTCTGAATTTAGCTCAACCTTTACTAAAAATTCTTTCTTGATACAAAAACAAAGACGGTTCACATGGACCTTTCGAGTGGCCCTTTAGACAATGACTAATCAAATTGCGTCAATATCGTATATGGGACTCATTGCACATGAACTTACTATACAAAGGTAATGTTTTGTAATATTTTTACCAAATTTCTGCTTAATAGTATTCAAATAAGCATAAAAATAAAACATTATGCTGAATCCATCACATTATATTCTGTAAAATCAAGAATGAGGACCACTTTTTGCTTTTTTCCGTTTTAGTTCAAACTTATGAAACAAACACCCACAGTCTCAAACATGAATGCAGTTATCTTATGACATAAATCAACAACAAGAACAATTATTATTATCTCAAGGCCCCATTTTGTCTCGTGTATTTCTCAATAATGTCCTGCAATAAAGACAATTGTGTCTTCTTTTTAAAGTAGTAACAAATGTGTCATTTGAATCAAGTTGGCTGCCAAAATGTTTATTTCGTGGTCCCAAAATCAATTGATATATATAAATGAACCCCACCTGGATAAATTTTTGGTCCTATTTTCAAATTTAATTACTGCATAGAAATAGATCCTACTCTTGCAAAGTATTCATACGTATATACACGAGTTGAGATCTGCTGTTCATTTATGCTGTTTAATTTGCTTTCCACCTAATTACAAATTGACATATCATGAAATTTTAAAATTAAGGTTGGATGACAAATTTAATTTTCTATGATGTGTCGATTTGCAATTTGATGGACAGCATTAATATTTATTTTTTACCTGTTGTGATTTCAACTCGTATATACACACCACTTAGTACATGCACTACTACATGTAACATGCTCCATGCACTCGTTATAATTTCTATACTTTCTTACGGTAATATTACGAAAGAACGGCATTTTTATAATTAAGCTTTGAAGTCAGCCTACATTTTTGATTATTTTGATTTACATGACTTCGTTTGAACTTAATTGCTCGTGTGCTTATTTTTCAGTTTATTTTATTGTTATATAATTGTTAATTATGAGAGATAAGTTTACGGGAGATTCACAGACCAAATGTTCAAATTATTATTAAGATGGACCCATATATACAGGCTACTAAAAATAGCTGCAATATGGGTTCATACTTTATAAAAATGGAACCATGGCGACAGTCGATGCTAGGTCTGTTGAGATTTTATTTTTCCGTATATTAGAGAACGGTCATCGAGCAACCATCTGGATTCTACCTATTTCACTCAAATATTTGGATCTGCCACTGACTTGATGCTAATTTTGTTATTCCTAACAACTAATCATGCATAAAAATGGAAAGTAATAAAATAACCTAAATTTAAGTTACAAATATTTTTGTACAGATACCGTTATTGAGGAAAAGATGTTATTGAGGAAAAGATGTTTTAATTAATGGAAGGTTTATTACAGAAATAAAGTGGGGACGTAAGTGGAGCAAAAGTTAAAAACTTTTATATCAATTAAATGCTAACATAACCACCCTTATTCGAATCAAGCAGTCACAAGTTTACTCTTTCTCTTCATTATTAATAATATCCCTGGTCTATTTGACAGCGATGACATGGAGGGCCCCAACCTAGTTAGGATGTGTCATAAGCCCCACACTAGGTAGCCCACTTTCTTCCCAAAAAAAAAACTAGGACAATTGTCTAGGTAACTAGTCATCCAATATTATTTATTACTTTGCAAAAGTAATTATATTTTTAAGAAGGAACCAACAAGGTATGTGAACTAATGATGGCCCTAGTTGAATTTAAGAGAGAAAATAAGAGAAAAAAATAAGACAATACAAAGAGAATAGAATTGTATTGAATGTGTGTAATTTGTTTACAAGAGAAACATCCTATTTATAGCTTAATTTAATAGGAATGTTTTACTTTCTAATCAATGTGGGACTAACTTACATGTACATTGTGTATATATGTATATACATTAACAGTCCCCCTCAAACTCAAGGAGGTAAAATGGAGACCAACTTGAGTTTGGAAACTAAATCCTGAAGGCGTCCAAGAGGATGTGTTTTAGTGAAAATATCAGCAGTTTGATCGACTGAAGAAACTAATAATAGTCCAATAGTCCCACGGGTGAGATGATAACGTATAAAGTGACAATCAATCTCAATGTATTTTGTGCGTTCATGAAATACATCATTGTGAGCAATTTGGATAGCACTTTGATTATCGCAGCTTATGATAGTGGAAGTAGAATGAGTGACGCCCATGTCTTCAAGTAACCAGTGAAGCCAAAGAAGTTCCTGAGTTGTATCAGCAAGAGCTCGATACTCAGCCTCTGTACTGGATCGA